CCATTCCAGCATGCCTTACTGATGGGAGAATCAGGAGGACTCATGCCTTTACTCTTGTCTTGCTGAGTCTGGCCTGGAAAGTTTCCCTTTTCTCCAATAAAACTGATTCTTTTTTCTGTGATGTAGTATTATGGGATTTGTCTAGTACACAAAAGCTTGGTAGTTGGAAATTCAGAAGGCACAGCTTCGTTCTATAATATTATGAGCACCGGTTATCATTTATGTACATGTTGATAATATATTTTCTATAACAATGAGCAATGGGGGTAACTTCAACTGCCAAGGAACAGCACAGAGGACAAACAAATCATTTAATTATCCACTACATGCCAAACTGCAGCTCATTTTGGAGAAAGGACATTGGTATAGTGGAGATGAGGAAAGCTGCCAAAGGTCCCATGGAAAGTGGAAGGTAAAACCTAGCTATGAGCCTACAAAGTCCTCAGGCTTACTCACGCAGCTTTGCCTTTTTCCTTCAAGGCCCTACAGACAATGCTTATACTTAACTTATGAAACTAGAAGCATATACTTGAATTTTGCAAAATTCTATTTTTTTTTATATGCCACTATCCCATATTTCTTACCATCTTCATTTTCATCAAACACTGGTGGTTTGCTTGAAGTGTTGGCTCCCATGGTTGAATCTGCCCAGACCTGGATCCTTGAGTTATACTATCCTGGCAGAAACACCCATCTTCACTCAAAACATGTCCTGAAGCCTTAGTTGGATATCTAGGACAGGAAAAGAAATAGTATCCTAATAATATCCTATACTCTAGGCACCCTGAGTATAAGACTGTGGCCGAAACATAAACCTCATCTGTATCACTGTAGTGAAAACTTTTGTGTTTGAAAACCAACCATGATTTCAGAATGAAAACATCAAGCGACAGGAGAACACACTGCATGGCTCATCAACAGCTGACCTAGACTTACAAAATGGGAGGAAAACAACATATTTTTCAAAGTATGTAGAAAGTGTAAAATGAAGTCAGTGATACTTTATTCAACAACTATAAAATAAAAATATTGTTAAGAAAATATGCTGATTTTATACTTTCTTGTTACTGGGTGATCAACAACAAAAACTTTCTTTTTTAGTCATAAAGATGCACTAGCTATCTGTTTCTGCATACCCTGGAGGGTACTACAATGTAAAAGAAGCAAGTTCTGGGTTGGACTTGACCACACCAGCAAATTGCTGAATTTCAATATATTTCTCTTTTTCCTTCTTCTGAACTTAGAGAAGATAATGGTCCTTTCCTCAATGGAGAGTTGAATGTGATAGACATACATTTAACTCATTATATATTAAGTTAAATGTATAATACACACATGTATAACTCTTTGTGTTGTATTTATATATTATTAACTCTTTGTGTTGTATTATATAACTGTTAATATATATCAACATATATTATGTTTATATATAACATTTATATATATCAACTCTGTGTTGTATTATATAATTCTTAATGTATTGAGTTACATAAATGTGTGATAAGCATACACTTAACTCATTATATATTAAGTTAAATAATACACATATATGTATAACTCTGTTATATCATATGTATGTTATGTTATATCACATTTATATATAACTATGTATTGAGTTACATAAATGTACGATATGCATACATTTGACTCAGTACACAAAACATTTTCATAGCATAAGTGCTCAAAACTGTTAGCCACTCTGAGGCTCAAATTAAATGATATGTGTGAACAAGAAAAAATCCTGAAAAAAATATTTATGGCTTTGCTGCACTTTAAAACATAATGGTAAAGAGAGGCAGCATCCTGTGTTCCTGTCCCAAAACTGACACTGATAATGCCTTTGGCCCAGTTACCTAACCTCTCACCTCTAGAGTGGGGGAAATAACAGTGTCTACCTCAGGAGTGACAAGCTGGGATCCCTATAGGAGCCAGGCAGATGACGCGAATGAGTGAGCCGGACTGGGCATTTAACATTAGTGCACTGGGTAGACAATGGTGACTTTGGCTCCATCCAAATAAAGTAATTGCACTCAGATCAAATAGATTGTCACCACATGGAAACATAAGCCCAGATCTTCAGATCTGCCCCCAAAATGGGGTAAAGGTCTAGATTTTGTACAAAATAACATTTTAAAATTCTACTCAGATATCTGGCTTAAGGAAATTTCATGCTTAGCACAAATATGGTCATGGTTACAGATAATGAGACAATGTATATAAGGTAATTGGCACAATGCCTAGCACATCATATGCAACGAATGAATGCTAGCTGTTGCTATTTCTCAGGGTAGCAGAATTTCCCTATTGCGTATTTTTTAAAATAGCTGATTTCCTCCTGAGCTCTTTACATGTGAAGGGAATATCGATTACAGGCAGAATTGGAGAAAGTGTTAAGGATGAGTTATTGAAAAAGAACTTACGAAACCCCTAAGCAAGTGTAGAAGAAAAGATCATTTTCCCACTAGGAAAATGTAAGTAAACGCTTCATTTGGAAGGCAGACTCATTAAGGAAATGCTAGTTTTCATACTAAAAGCCAACTGCTGGCAAAATGCCTTATGGACTTTAACAGGAATCATTAAATAGAGAGCAAAGAGAGTCAGCAATTAGGAAGCAATCAATTAAATGGTATGGGAGAGGGAGTGGGTAGGGGCAGGTGGTCACAGGTGGCTGAAGGAAGCTCAGAGGAATTATTGAGACCCAGGAAGATAGAACTCAACCATTTCTCCAGGATAAAAAATCAAAAGGAGTTTAACTCCAGCGGACAAGGGAGTTAAGAAGTAAGTGGGATGCACTTTTTATTGTGAGTGTTTTATTGTGAGTTAGGGAAAAGCAAATGGGGCGGCCTTGTGCTTTATTATTGCATTTATAATCCAAATGAGGGTTAGTGTAAGGACTGAACCACTGATGGCACTAGAAAGAGATGAATGGTCCTAAAGAGAACATTAATTTTAAGGAATTGCAGTTGTTAACTGCAGGCAGAGGCTACATTCTCTTTTGTTTTGTGCTTAAAACCTGAGTACATGTAGTTTTCACACCACACCCCAGTCCTGTCATTCTTACATCTTCACACCTCAGGTTTTTCTCAAGTAGCCCATCATCCTGCAACATAAGATATACCAAGCACTGACCTTGCAAGTTGTCGAATCAGAAAGAGAAAGAGGAAGGAATATTATCGCAATTTTCCATGTTTCAGAATATCATCCTGATGTGCAGACAATTTTGTTCGCCACGGTCCCAGTGATTTTTTAGTGGGAAGATAATATGCAAACAGGGAACCATGTTTGCGTGTGTCTGGGGAAGATGGAAGCAGATGGAACTACTGAGTGATCGTTTAGTATCTTGTTCATTGCACCTAACATACACAATCCAGTTTAAAATTATTTTTCATTTTCTGTCCCATGTGGATAACCAAATTCGATTTTTTTTTTTCATATTCAGAAAGAAATCTACCACTCTCTGGCAGGAAAATAGAGACACATACTTTCCACTTTGCTGAAGAGCCCAATAGAGCTATAGGACTCTTTTACCAAACCCCCAGCCCTTCCTGATCTGCTGGCACTAAGTCTGCAGTGTTACCTAAACATCATTTTGAGATGTGAAGAGGACAGCTACCATCCATGAAAATGAAAATCCAAAGCATATGAAATGTTAAAGGAAGAGAAATTTGTCTTGCAGGAACACAGGGAGTTTTCAGAGTCTACCTTGACCTGGCTGATTTTCAGATTAACTGGGAACTAGTTCCCTAATACCAACCTTTCATCTTTGGCCTGTAATTTGGGGGTTGTCAACAGGTAAACTTCTCTAACCACCAAGCCTCCCTAGATAAGGAGGTGTGGTCTTCTAGGATTGGAAAACAAAGGGGGCGATGCAAGAAAGTTGCAACTTTTGATTGAACATTTTAGATTTCATCGTCACGAATGTGGATAGAAACAACTTATTTGTTTGCATTTGAAAAACAGAACGTCTTAGAGTTTAAGAAATATTTCATACAGGAAAAAAACATGAAAAATGCCCAATAGCACTCAATTAACAATTGTTTATATTTGGTCATCTTTATATCATCATTTTTATTTTTAAAACATTTTAGGGAAATATTATTTCCACTTTAACCCTAAAGTCCAATTGATTTCCCTTTCACACTTTCCAAAGACAGCCACAATCACGGATACATTTCACAGTCTCCGTTCTACGATTTTACAAACATGGCAAGTGTCTTAAAATAAGTCACCTAAATGGCGCGATAGAGTGGATATATTTTGCATCTTGCTGTGTCTATCTACCATCATACTTCTGAAATCTAGGTATAGGCATGCTGATCCCTACAGTTCTGATTTTAGCTTTTTAAGTGCTGCATAGCAGTCCGTTGTGTGAATACACATTACATTTTTTAAGTCCCGGGGGAAAAAGTCCTTGTGGAGATGAAGCCATCGTCAAAGGCAGCTAGGTTTTGCTTGTTTAGATGCTGGAGGACAAGCAGAAACACCTCCACTCACTTGTCTCAACCCAGCAAATATTTATTGAAGTCTGTCTGGCTCTGCACATGAGTCAGTGCCAGGCAGGGGAACCTGGGTGGAGTACAAAATAGCTAGAATTGGTCCCAGCCTGCATTTAGTTTTGTGAGTTACCTTGATCAGCAGCCTTTGTCTTCTCTTCTCCTTGCACTTCCTAGCTTCCCATCAGTACCCTTAGTTTGTAGGTTTATTGTTATTATTTGTTAAATCTAGACCACCACTCACCTAGTCTCGATTCTTCCTTCATTCCTCGCATGAGGCTCGGAGCGATGCTTTCATCCAGGGAGCAGGGGCTAAGAGAAGAGCTCTAAGAGCAAGGAGCAAGGAAAGGCACCTATCTGCCTGGAAGCGGCGGCGGCTGCGAGCGCCAGCCTGGGCTGGGCTGCGCTAGACTGAGCTGGGCTGGGCTGGGAAGGCACCTGCGGCTGCCAAGGGATCCGAGCGCCGCCCAGCGCGCAGCTACCCCGGAGGGGCGGCTCCTCGGCCAGGGAAGGAGGCGGGATCTGCTTGCCAGCGGGCGTTCCCGCTTAGCGCTCTCTCCAGAAACCGCGGGGCAGTTTCCTGGGTGAGGGCCAGACGCCTGGGGTCCGTTTGTCGCCTGCTGAGACTAGACAAGGACCTCGGGAGGGCGAGGTTGGGGGAGAGGGCTACGGTGGAGATCCCGCCGCGCTTGGGCTGGGTCCGGAGCCGCCAGGACGCACAGCGGGTACTATTACTCCCCATATCACGGGAGCCGCCTCACACCCCTGCGATGTGGATCGTAACAGCCAGCTGGGGAGAAAGGGGTGCTATTACTCCCTATATCGCGGAGGGTGCCTCACTCCCCTGTGATGTGGATCGTAACAGCCAGGGAGGGAGAGGGATGTGCTCTTACTCTCCGTATCGCCGGGGGTGCCTCACTCCCCAGCGAAGTGGATCGTAGTAGTCGGGGAGCGGGGCGCGAGGGAGATGCTATTACTCCCCATATGGCGGGGGGGTGCCTCACACCCCTGCGATGTGGATCCTAATAGCCAGGGAGAGAGAGGGAGGTGCTATTACTCCCCATAGGGCGGGGTGTGCCTCACTGTCTTGCTGTATGTGGATTAATAGCATTGCTCCCCTCTTGGATATTAGAAACAATTTCACAGGGTGTGTGTACACAGCCTGCGATATTGAAACTAACATCATCCTCTCCACCTCCAGATATTAGGAACAATATTACAAAATATTGTACACTCTGCGAGATTTGGAGTCCTATCATGCTGTGTTTCCCTGAATATTCGTAGAAATATCACAGCCTGGGTGTACACCCTATACTATATTGAGAGTAATTTCGTACTCCTCCCCTTGGAAATTAGGAGAAATATCACGGAAGGGGTGTAAAGCCACTGCGATATTTGAAGTAATATCATTGCCCTCCCCCACTAGTTATTAGGAACAATATCACAGGAGGGTGTATACCTTCTACGGTATTGGGAGTAATATCATCATCTCTTCCTTTAGATATTAGGAACAATATCAAAGGTGATTGTACACCCCGTGTATTATTGGAAGTAATATCATTCTCTCTTCGTCTAGATTTCAGAATCATATCACAGGTGGGGTGTACCCCCCTTGCTATATTAAAAGTAATGTTATCTTCTTTCAACCTGGATATTAAGAGCAATATGAAATGCGTTCTGTACATCCTTTCAATATTAGTAGTAATACCATCTGTTCCCTTCCTGGATATAAGAAAAAATATGACTGGCCGGGTGTCCACCCCTTGCAATATTGGGAGTAATATCACCTCTCCCCATGTGGTTATCAGGGACAAAATCACAGGGTGGGTGTACAGTTCGCACGTTATTGAGAGTAAAATCATCCACTCACCCCCTGGATATCAGGAACCATATCACAGAAGGAGTGTACACCCCCTGCGATATTGTGAGTAATATCATCCTTTTTTCCCCTGGATATTAGGAGCGAAACCACACTGGGGGATGTACACCCACTGCGATATTGAAAGTAATAGCAGCGTCGTTCCCCCTGGATATTAGGAAGTATATCACAGGTGTGTGTGCACCTTCTGCGATATTGATAGTATTATAAGCCTCTACCACGCTGCCTATTAGGAACAATATACAGCGGTTGGGGGGGCGGTTACAGCCCCTGGATATTGGGCGTAATATTATTATCTTTTCCCTGTACATTAAAAACCATATCAAGGGGTCTATATACCTTCTGCGATATTGGGATCAATGTTGTCCTCTCCCCCACTGAATATCAGAAACAATATTACAAGAGGGTGTACACTTCCTGCGATATGGCCAGAAATATCATCGTCTCCTTCCCTGGATATTAGGAACAATATTACCAGGTGTGTACACCCCTTGCACTATTGGGAGTAGTATTATTCTCTCTTCCCCTTGATATTAGAAATAATATCACAGGCGGAGTGTACACCCCACCCCCTGCGGTATTGAAGGCAATATCATTCTTTTTTAACGTGGATATTAGGAACAAAATCACAGGGGGCATGTACACTTTCTTCGATACTGGGAGTAATATCATCCTCTCAACCCGTAAAGAGTAGGAAAAGCATCAAAGAATGTTTGTACACCACTTGCGATATTGGGAGTAATATCATCCTCCCCTCACCTGGTGTACAAAAAAAATTGTACACCACCTGCCATACTGGGAGTCATACAATGTTCTATCCCCATGGATATTGAGAACAATATCACAGAGGCAGTGTAGATCCTCTGCGTTATTGCCAGTAATATCATTCTCACCCCCCTAGATATTAGGAACAATATTACAGGAGGATTATACACCTGCCGCACCAATGGGAGTAATATCATCCTTTCTCTTCTGAATATTAGGAACCATATCTCATGGGGGGTGTACAACTCATTCCATTTTGGGAGTAACATAAATTTCTTCATTGCTGGAAATAAAAAACAATATAACAGTGGTGGTGTACACACGCTGTGGTATGGCCAGTAATAACCTAGACTCTCCCCGGGATATTAGGAACAGTATCAAAAAGGGGTGCATACTCCCAGCGATATTGAGATTAATATCATACTCTTCCCCCCTGGATACTAGGAACAATATCAAAGAAGGGGTGTTCACCCCTTGCCATATTGACAGTAATATCCTCTCCCTCCCTGGATATTAAGAGCAATACTAAGAGTTGGTGTACATCCACTGTGATATTGAGAGTCATGTCATCCTCTACCCCCTGGATACTAAAAACATTATCACAGAGGGGGTGCACAACCCCCGCGATATGGTCAGTAATATCATCGTCTCCCCCACTGGATATCAGGAACAATATCACATGGGTGTGTACACCTCCAGCGCTATTGAAAGTAATATCATTCTCTCTTCCCCTGGATATTAGGGATAATATCACAGGTGGGGTGTACAATGCCTGCGATATTGGCAGTAATATCATCCTCTCCCAACCTAGATATTAGCAACAAAATAACAGGGGGTTTTACACCCCCTGCGATATTGGGAGTAATATCATCCTCTCCTCCACTTGATATTAGAAACAATATCCCAGGAAGGGTGTACACCCTCTGAGATATTGAAAGAAATATCATCCTCTCCCCACCTAAATATTAGGAACAATATCACAAGGGGTGTGTACACCCCTTATGATATTGAGGGTAGTATTATCCTCTGTCTCCCTGGATATAAGGAACAATATCAGTGGGGTACTGTACACCCCCTGTGATGGGGGAGTAATATCATTCTACTCCCCATTGGATATTAGGCACAATATCATGGAGAGGTTGTACATCCCTTGCCATATTGTGAATCATATCATTTCTCTTCCCCTGGATATTAGGAACAATATCACAGGAGGTGTGTCCCCTGTGATATTGGAATTAATAGCATCCTCTCCCGCACTGAATATGAAAAACCATATCACAGGGATTTTGTCCACCCCTGTGATATGGACAGTAATATCATTGTCTCCCCGCCTAAATATTAAGAACAGTATCACAAGAGGGGTGTACACCCCCTGCAATATTGGAAGTAATTTCGTCGTCTGTGCCTTTGGATATTAGGAACCATATCACGGGGGGTGGGGGACGGTGTACCACCCCCTGCGATATCGGGCATAATGTTATCATTTCTTCCCCTGGATATTAGGAGCAATAACCCGGAGTGAGGAGGGAATACAGCCTCTTCGATATCGGGAGTAATAACATCCTTTCCCTTCCTGGACATTAAGAACAATATCACTGGGTGGGTGTACACCGCCTGCGATATTGGCTGTAATATCATCCTCTCTTCCCTGGAATATTACAAACAATATCACAGGAGGGATGTGCAGCCCCTGCGATGTTGGGAGTAATATCATCCTCTCCTCTTCTCGATACAAGGAGCATATAGCCCAGCGTGGGTGTTCATTCTCTGTGATATTGGGCGTAATATCATCGACTCCCAACGTGGTTATTGGGAATAATGTCGTCACAGGGGAGTGTCGTCACAGGGGAGTGTACACCTCCTTCGATATTGGGAGTAATATCATCCTCTCAACACCTAGATATTAGGAACTATATCACAGAAGGCTGTGCACTTCCTGTGATACCGGGGGTAATATCACCTTCTCCCATCATGGATATTAAGAACAATATTACAAAGGAGGTGTACACCCCCTGCGATATTGACAGTAATATTATGCTCTCCCCTTCAGGATAAGAACAATATCGCAGGAGGTGTATAAAGCCCCTGCGATATTGCCATTAGTATCATCGTCTCCCTCCTGGGATCTAAGAAACAATATCACAAGGGGGTGTATACCCCCTGCGATATTGGGAGTAATATCTTCTTCTCCCCAGCTGGCTATTAGGAACAATGTCACCGAAGGGGTGTACACCCCCTGTTATTTTGGGAGTGATAGCATCCTCTCCATCCCTGGATATTAGGAACAACATCACTAGAGAGTATACACCTCCTGAGATAGAGAGACTAATATCATCCTCTTGCCTCCTGGATATTAGGAACAGGGGTGGTGTAGACCATCTGCGAAATTGGAAGAAATATCATCCTCTCCACCTTTGGATATTAGGAACAATATCACAGCGGAGGGGAGTCCTACGCCCCTTGCGATATTGGGAGTAATATCATCCTCTCACACCCAGGATATTAGAAACAAGATCACAGAAGGGATGTACACCCACTGCGATATTTTGAGTAATGTCATCCTCTAGCCCCTGGCTGTTAGAAATAACATCATACAGGGGTGTATATCTTCTCTGATATTGGGAGTAATATTATTCTCTCCCCCCCGTATATCAGGAAAAATACTATTGATTATTAATATTAATAAATATAATAATGAATAATACTAATCATTGATATTGATAATAACGATGATAAAATATTAATTATTAACCATATGCAATATGATAGTAATATCATTATTAATAATCAAATAATCATATCTGGAATTACTGTTACTTAGTTAAATCAATCATAAATAATGTTGATAATAAAATGATGATTAATAACTCCGGTTGGGTGCAGTGGCTCACGCCTGTAATCCCAGCACTTTGGGAGGCCAAGGCAGGCAGATCACCAGGTCAGGAGATCGAGACCATGGTGAAACCCCGTCTCTACTAAAATTACAAAAAATTAGCCAGGCGCGGTGGCGGGCGCCTGTAGTCCCAACTACTCGGGAGGCTGAGGGAGGAGAATGGTGTGAACCCAGGAGACGTAGCTTGC